TTACTTGAGTATGGCTTTCAGGTACTTTATACACCACTGCCTGGGAGCTCATGGTGAAATCACTGTGAGATCAAATTGTTGACTGGGTAAAGAAGGGAAAAGTTAATCTTCCGAAATGAAGCAGCAAAATCTTCTCAGGTAAAAGTTATCAGAACTGTCTAGGGACAAGCTGGCCATCACACTAGAGGTCTTCTCGGGTCCTAAAATCTGTATCCGACCCGAATCGACCCGAATCACTTCTTACCCGAACCCGACGTGCATAAATACATAACCCGAATCACTTCTTACCCGAACCCGACCTGCATAAATACTTTTTTTTTTTAAAGAAAAACCCAACCCCGAGACAGACCCGATGAAATTAGACCCGAGTCCGACACGATGGCATTTATTTTCGAACCCGACTGGACCCAAACGTAAACAGCATTGACGTGTGTAGGCTAGCCTACAGCCTGCAGCCCCGCAGTCAGTCAGGAAAAATCCTAGTGTCCTGTTGACTGATTTGGCCACTTCTCCATTACTTTGATTTATTTAACATTTATTCAATTTATTATTAGGTTACTTTATATTAGTGCCTGCCTGATGGATACAAGGTATTTCTGAGCTCCGCTTTCAATTGTGACCAGTGGATTTGAAAAATAAACGTGATAGTTTGATAAAAAATAAATCGATAGCCTAATCATGGATTCGCTGTTGTCTGCAACCTGATCTCCGGCGAAAGGCTTCTGCACACAAAAAAGAAAAGCCCTGCATGAACACGCAGCATAATGAAGCGAGTGGATTTTCCTGATGGATCTCATATCTATAAGATGATGTCTGTGTGCGAGGATTACGAACGTATGCTCCTTTTCTATGTGCGTTCCTCTCTTAACACGAAAGTGAACGTAACCTACGCATTCGGGATAGTTTAAAAGAATTCGGGTCTAATCGGGTCCATTTGGGAAAAGCATGTTTATTTTAAATTACCCGAGGCCACTAATACTGAACCCGACCCGTGTCCGAGGTACTCGTCAAAGTTTTGGACCCCAACCCGCTCGGGTCTTGGGTTGGACCTCGGGTTTTCGGATCCAAGTGGACCCATGAAGACCTCTACATCACACTGCTCTGACCTTATCAGTCCGTTTGTATCCTATTATTTGATTCGCTCTTGTCGCTTATGACAGAACAGCGAATCACGATGATCTTGTCTTCGGAAAAGATTATTATATTCACTTATGTCAGAAACAGTGAATCTCTTTAAAAACTGGCTGTTGTTTTCACTTCATTGCATTGTTATAATTCGTAAAAGTTGTACACGCCAACTGGCGACTGACACTGTTACATGGAACGGTGATTTTTACTTGCATTTGGTGCTTGGCGAGTGTTAATTTTAGGCCCTGCTTGGTTGTCTTCCTCGCATTGGTCTCCTCGATACGATCTTCCCAGGGAACTATGAGTTCTAAGAGGATGATCTGCTTGGAGGCTTCTGAGATCAGAACCACGTCTGGCCTTAGCCATGTGTTGCAACAGTTTCTGGGAACTTCAGTTGCTTCCCCAGGTCAACTCTTAGGTCCCAGTCCTGTCCTCTTGATAGCAGGCCAGAAGAGGTGGTCCTGACAGATGGTGATACCTTCTCCCAGCCTAGACAAAAGTTGTGGTCTTCTTCACTGGGTGTAGGCGCCTACAGTGGATGATCCCGCTGGAGATAGTATCTGCGATGGCCTTCTGGACTTTTTCATGATGCCAGCAATAACGCCCGCCCCACTCAGTGCTCTTTGACAGCTGCTGAGGATATGGTCCAGAGTCACTCTCATCAGGCACAGCAGTCCAGCTAGTGACTCTGCCTTTTCCCCAGGAGAAACAAGTTGGATGGACTTGGCAGTACATCGTAGACAGCCTGGATTAGGAATTTTATTCAGTGGGGCTCGGATTTCCAAGTGACTTTGCGTTATACTACTTGTTCCCACCTTGTCCAGGCTCCCTGCTGCATCCCAATCAAATTTAGCGTGAATGGTCGGGTCGGGAAGAAAATTATTCTAAGCGGACAGCGGTTGAACAAAGAGTGAATATATAGCGGGAGCGGGTGGGTGCGGAATATAACCTTGCCGGAGCGGGACTAAAAAAATAGTCCTGCGCAGACCTCTAATCAGATGGATCAAATCCAGTGAGTACCATTTTCTCTTGCTATCCGTTTATATGTTTTTGTATTTAGCACATTTACCTTCGTTTTCGTCTTCTTCATGGGTTTTACTCGCGCATTGTTAACAGATCCATACCGCCACCTACTGAAAGGAGCGTGGATATTCTGCTGTATATTCCAAAACGTTCTACATATTTCTATATATTTAACCCAATACATTTCAACTGTGCATTTATTATTTTCCCTGGTTCTGGACTATTATCTAAGATGCTGGATATTGTAAATGCCTGACAAATTGTTTCGGTTTCATTTATACTATTAATGCATGTTCTACAGGTTCTGCTTCTTGACATTAATCCATGATGCATAAACCTGTTTTATTGTTCTCCATGATGTATAACCTAGCATTAATTAGAGTGTCCCTTTCTCAGATGTGTGAGATCAGTTCTTTTATGTTGATGTTGACTGAGGTTAACAGGTCTTGCAGTTTTGCAAATGGAATTATAAATGCATTGCCTCCCTAACCTCTATGCATATCTTAATACACAAATATGCACTGCACATTTAAACTGCATATTCATCTGGATGTTTAAACATTTGATCTTTTTGAGGCCCAACACAAATGAATATTAACTAGTTTTTGCTTACGGCTGATGGTCATAAACATACTTCACATGCTGTGATGAACTCTATGGTGATCTTGAGAAACTGCAGATACAATTTTCATTCCATCAGTAGACTGATGCAGTTTGAGGTGCTGCATTATATACTAGATCAATAAAACTAATAATTTGACATTTGATTTCCTTATGCTAATGTTCAAGATTATTATGTGGCGTTCCTGCATTTTTGCTGTCAGACAGTTGTCAAGGTCTTCAGTGACAAAAATACACGAAACACAATTTAGTCTTTAGTTCAAACTTGTATTAAAGCTCATAAAACAATATCAAGTACAACTGACCGGAGATAAAATCATATCATGTCTCTGTTTACAGCAAACACATCTTTTGTCTCACATTAGAAAATGTAGCTTACATGATTTTGATACATTATATACCAAATATTAAAAATATGTAAATGTAAAAAATATATCTGAGTGCTAAATTTGATAATTAGAATTATGATTAGCATTAATCCCAAAAGCATTATGATTGTAGGCTTTATACTGAAGACCCAGAATCCTCTCTGTTCTGATCACTGACTCTATTCCCTTCACTGCTCCACCTGTTAATAAAGCAAAATAATAATTTATATCAACCCTAAACCAACAATAACCATCAAATATCACTCCTGCACATGGATGTTCCTAATAATGTAGCATTATTAATTTTAAAGTGCATGTGTGTATTTCCTTCATTAAAATTACTAACAGCTGCAGTTTTGTGCAAATGTGTGCATATAAGAAAAATATAAAAATCTCTGTTCTGACACAGTGCTATAAGTTAAAGCTTTAAAACTTTTTTTTGTTGTGCGGATATTCTCATTTAAGAAAAGAGTTCATGTTTGAATATTTAATGAACGTAATAGATTCTGGGTACAGACGTCACATCATCACACATATTCATTTATGCTCAAACTATAATGAGGCTCTTCTGAGGATCCTCACCTGATAATGAAGCTCCTTTTCATTTCACAGGTTTCTAAGATTTAGACCAGGATGTAAACTGCATACCAGTGTGCTTTGTAGCAGCTCTAAACAAAGGCTGTTCACGGTCTAGTCTGTAAGGAGAAATCAGAAGAGAAAATAATCAGTGTTGGCTGTGAAGAATTGCAAATTAGTTACTATATTTCAATTTAAAAAGTAAAATGAAGTGTCACATTAAATTAAGATTCTTAAAGTTAGTTACTTTATTAGTTACACACACATATATCTAAAACAATATTTGGGTTTTAAATATAATCCATTTAAAACATGAATTATATTCAAATGTTGTTATGACTGCAGAAGAGTCTATGACTCCTATTGAGTCACTGTAAAGAGAAACACATGCTGATGAGTTTATGGTTTATGTGATTGATGACAAAAAGCAAATACAAATGATATACTTAATTCAAATTAAAACCTCTGAGTGAAACTTTCACTAGTTAAAGCTGTTTGTCCCCTAGTTTAAACATTGCTTTTATTGGTCTTTGTAAATAATGTTAAATAATGTGAATAATATTTCTTGTCCAAAGTAAAAATGTATAATAAAAATTAAAGTTTTGAATGTCAGATTTGTTCTGACACAAACTCTTCCAATAAAGCTTAATACAAATTTATTTTGACATATTTTTGAAAGATGTCCCATGTATTAAAGCTATATGAAGCTCTCTTTAATACCACAAAGAGATATTTACTCACCTCAGTTTACAGTTTGAGTCTCGTAGCACATCAATGAGCTGCTGCTTTGAGTCTCCAATCATATTGTTTCTCAGATCAAGCTCTTTTAGAAACTGCAGTGCTTTTGTGTTTGTCAAAGCCTGAGTTAAAGCAGAAACGTCTGTAATGCCACAGAAATTTAGACTAAAAAAAGACAAACAGAAAGACAGAATCATAAAAAAAAATCATAATTAATAATTGTAAACAAACAATATATGAACTTATATGAATCTGATTTAAACGATGTGCTTTTAAGAATTATGATATTCCTCACCTCAGTCTCTCCAGTTTACAGTCTGAATCCTTCAGTACGTCACATAAGTGACTCATTCCTGTGTTTTTTATTTGATTCTCACTCAGGTCCAGTTCTCTCAGGTGTGATGGGTTTGATTTCAGAGCTGAGGTCAGGATGAGACACTGTTCATGTGCAATACTGCATCCACACAAACTGAAGACAGAAAAAGAAAATACAATGGTTCAGATCCATGTTAAGCTCATGTGAGTTAAATGCATCATGTTACATTATTTTAGTTGTGTCATTTTAGTTGTCTTCTTTCACAGCAAATTTGTCAGATTTCAGCACATGAAACCATTTTATAGCCACAAAGTATCAAATGCTTCAGAGTTTAATGTTCTTTATGCTGACACACATACTGAACAATCAGTAGCTAATTAGCTAATATACATTTTCAGTCTTTCTTTAGATGAGGAAATGCCAGATGTAGTGATATAAATGATGTGACATGAGTCTGTTTTCTTAAAATAAATTAACAGTAAACTTTAACCACACCGTAACTGTTGTACAGTGTAATAATACTAACTCTAGTATTTCCAGCTTGCATTGTGGGCTCATCAGTAGATCACTGAGGTTTTTCACTCCAGAGTCTCCTAGTTCATTCATTCTCAGGTCCAGTTCTCTCAGGTGTGATGGGTTTGATTTCAGAGCCGAAGTCACAGCAGAACAATCTTCATCTGTCATATCACAGCCTTTTAACCTACATTAAGAGAAATGAGAAAAATCACACTTCATTCCGTTTCATTTAAATAACAAAACATTTTTTTCTTGTATGTGAATATTCTTCACCTCAATCTCTCCAGTTTACAGTGTGAATCCTTCAGTACGTCACATAAGTGATTCACTCCTGTGTTTTCTATTTCATTTCCACTGAGGTCCAGCTCTCTCAGGTGTGATGGGTTTGATTTCAGAGCTGAAGTCAGGATGAAACACTGTTTCTCTGTAATAATGCATTCACACAGACTGAGGATAAAAAGAGAAAAGGCAATGAAACAAACACATGTTAAGTTCACGTGTGAGTTAAATTCATGAGTAAATACCATACAGTACAATTATATATAAAAAATAATAATTTACACAGTGTGCACAATGTACACAGATAAAATCATTTATAATAAGCACTGCAATATTCCATTAAATAAGAATTGTCCATTTTGATTTCATGGTGACTTTAAGAAACTAAACAGTTAATCACACTGTAACTGCTGTACAGTATAATGATACTAACTGTAGTTTCTCCAGCTTGAATTGTGGGTTCATCAGTAGATCACTGAGGTTTTTCACTCCAGAGTCTCCTAGTTTATTCCCGCTCAGGTTCAGTTCTCTCAGGTGTGATGGGTTTGATTTCAGAGCTGAAGTCAGAGCAGAACAACCATCATCTGTCATATAACAGCAGCTTAACCTACATTAGAAAGAGAGCATAAAAAGATAGAAGAAAACTATTTATTTAGTAAAGTCACAAAATAAATAAATTAAATAATTTAAAAAAACAGACAGAGGAAGAGGGTCTGAGTGCCTTTGGATAATTTGTTTCCATGTTTTTACTGTACCTTTAAAACAGAAAAACAAATAAACCGTTCGTTTATCACATATTTGACACTTCTTTCTTCTGCGTAGGTGTTGGTTCTGATCTCTGATCTCATGCATCGAGATCAAAAAAGCTTTTCACCCATTAAAAAAGCAACGGTGATACAGGGTCATAACCAGAGCTGCTGCCATCATTCTGATGGTGGGGCGTCACATTATTAGGCCTGCACTACTTTATTATACAATATTTGATCTTTTTCCTTTAACATACATCACTAAGTGATGCTCCAGGACACATCAGGTGTTTTCAAGTCTTTCAACAACCATACACCCTTGCCCAGATGACCTAGCCAGGGTTGACTATCTCCTGATCCACAACCACCATGCAGGAACCTCTGTTGCCTTTGTGGCTGACTTAATACCCCGTTGCCTGCTGGGCCCTCTGATGCCCAGCATGTCATACACTCTGCAGAGAGCCTTAGCCGTAAAACCCTCTGCAACCTACCTTAATTGGCTTGTACCTTGCGACAAGCCATTGCTCCGGCACTCTTCTACCAGCTCGGTACACTTGGTTCTCTTCCTCTCATTGGTCTCCTCGATATAATCCTTCCAGGGAACTGTGAGTTCTAAAAGGATGATCTGCTTGGAGGCTTTTAAGATCAGAACCATGTCTTGCCTTAGCCATGCTTTCCCTGGTCGACTTTCAGCTCTCAGTCCTGTGCTGTTGAAAGCAGATCAAAGGAGGTGGTCCTGTAGCTAGTGTTACCTTCTCCCCAGCCTTGACAAAAGTTATGGTCTTCTTCACTGGA